GATTTAGGCAGACATTATTAAGCCTTCGAACTTTTTCCTGTTCAAGTTCATAAAGTTTTCAGTTAAGCTGTCATTGCCTAGAGAGGAAACCACCGAAAACACTCGGCCACAATTTTTTTTATTTATTTACCCAATAGGCTTAGCAAATATTACAAAAACGAATGTTATTATTTTTACAAAGCTCACGGATTTCTATGTTCATATATGTATATATGTTGAGCGTGATCCAACAACCTCCATATGAAAAGAAGAAAAAAATATTGGTGAGCTTTCCTCCGCATCCGCCGGTTTTGCGGTGAGCTTTTCTCCGGTGAGTTTTTCTCTGGAATTCATATATATATAACTTGATAAAAATGGACGAAAATGCCTCTTGTGTACAGTTTGTTTAAATAAGGGCTGATATTACTATATAAGAAAAAATAACTTCAAATAAAGTCATGATTGCTTTGCAATAATATTATCGACCCAGGAGAGCGTCAAGTAACACCACAAGCTACTTTTGCTTGAAAAGTCATATCTGTATTATAGAAGGAAGTGCGACATACACGTACATCTAAAAACGACATTGGATTTGATGTAGAGAGGACAAGCAAAGTTGTGGCTGCCGCAAACCTGCGTGTTATTCATAGAAGCATTGTGGTCAGGTAGTGCATTCCGGCCTTCGATTGCCAAGGATAATTGATAACCGACCGTGGACAACAATACTGCACGTAATTAACAAGAATGCCTGAAACAAGGGAAACCGTGGAGAGGAGGAAGATTGTTTTAGATGCTTATTGTCGTAAAATATTCGATGACAAGGAGAAGGACATGGACACTGAGGCAGAGATTAAGTGTGTCGAGGTCCTGACTGGAGTAATCATGATATGCTAGTATATGGAGAGTGGAAGGAATAAATGAAACAAAATGTTATATATTGAACGGCTTTTACATTATTACATAATATGACTCTTATGAAGATAATATTGGGGAAGCTTATTGCACCAGGAACCTCTCGTACGCGACCAAAAAAAATCCGCTTAGCCCTGGTACCAAACCAGGGACCTCTAAATGTCCCTCGTTGGATACCAGGACCAGGCGGATTTTTCGATCGCGCACCAGTCACCTAGCTGTGTTTGGAGATTTGTGTTTATTCTTTGTCCCCCTTGTTCCCATTCTCCAGGGATTATTATCGTCCTTCTTGCCCAGATCGCTTGCAGCTTCGCAATAATTGCATTATCATAACAAAAGAACAAAGCTTTCTGAGCGTTGGCAATTGTTTTAACCGAGTTTGAAAACAGCTCTATAGGCACCCTAGAGGTCCATGCCAAGAATAATGTGCCTCGAGCAGTCTTGAAGCACGATGAATTTCACCGGACAGGTGTCTCAATGGATGTAGCGCGAGCACTGTACCTCTGCAGTTTGCAATTTCTGGACCGTGTCAACCTCTCGACAGTTTCCCAAGGCTGCGAGAGACCTACTCATTCAAACCCAAAGTCTGCTCCAGTGTCGATGAGGACTGTCGCGTCGTGTTATCTATAAGAACTTTAAGGTAATTCGACGCCAAGCCGAAATCGTTGTTCTGAGGGGTTTGTTACCACTTGACTTGGAGCTCTCTGACACCTCTGTAGGCTCTCTGCATCGGTCACCCTCGACAAGGCCACATCCAGTCTTTGCCGAGCATAATTTTGAAATGGAACAGGGGAGACAGGTTTTCCCTGAGAGTGTAGCGGACGGGTGAAGGCGTACGTCTACGCGATGGCAAGCAGGAACATTGTGACGGGAATGGCTCCAGGAGCATATGATGTTGCAGATACTCACGATGTCTCATGGTCGCACTCCAAGTAGTTGTCGAGGGTTCTTCGGCGCAAATCCTCACAGGCTTGCTTGGCGGCATGGGCACCTCCGATATACATTTTCTGCCTCACCGCAGTGGTAACACAGCAGTCAACGGTCGGCATTATCGTCACCACACCATCTACGGCGCAAGTTGTTTGAGGCGTACGTAGTGGGGCTGTGCTTCTCGACGTCGGAAAATCTATGGCGCGGTAGGGTCCCGTGGACGTGGCGTTGGGTACGGTCGGGTAGTTGGCAGTGGCCTCTAAGCCATCGCGGAGCAGAGCAACGTTGGCTCGACAGGTGCCGCATGCTTCGTCGATGAAAGCTTAACATAATAAAGCCCGCTGTACTTCTTCCCGGACCACAACCTCGGCAATGAAGAAGTATGCCGGATCATCCGTAGCAGGTTTCATCTTCTTGGGCTCCTCCAGTACGACGTCCGATCGATCTCGAAAATGCAAGGGAGATCAGGGAGGTTGAAGTATTGAACGCCGCTAGACGGCGCAGGGGCATGCTGCCCTCAGCTGAAACTGCGGTGGGATCTAAGTGCCCGCCAGGCCAATCAGCCTCCTCTTCGTCACACGACCCGGCTTTCTCCGAGGGGTATGGGCGGGAGCGTGACAAAGCAGCGAAAGGAAGCTATGTATGACTTGTCCATCAAGGACATAGCTTCCACCGAAGTTTCAGCGCAGGGGTGAACGGAGGTCCTAGCGACAAGGGCTTGTAAGATTTCGGTATTTTGTTTGTGGACAAGATTGCCCGGGATGTTATAGTTCACTCCCTCCATGGGTATGCGAGTATGCGAACTTTTCCTCGGGGGCCTGAAGGTCGGCACAGAAACTGAGGAGTAGCACGTGTTCGATGAAGCTGGTGACGCTTTCGTTGAGATCTTGATTTTTTGTTCACAGAAAGTTTACGGCTTGCAGTCATCGGTGCTCACAGGTTAAGTTGTCCTTCAATTCAACCATACAGGCATCTCGTTATGTAAAGGAAGCTTCATGGTTCTCGAATCATTTCCGCCTTGTTTCCTCCAATGGAAAGTTGACGCCGTAAGAGCACCGTTTGGCCGTTCACTTCTTGTGGCGGGTCACCGTTTTGTTTGTGCTGAATCCAGTTTTAGACGTGATCGTGGACCTTTAAAGGGAATGGTACAGGTGTGCTTGGGTTTATATACAGATATACAACAGGTTTTTTGGTTTTTGGCTTCTCTGGAAGTGGATCAAACTCTAGCAGTTGTCCTCGGATCCGCAGAATTTTTTCATACCGGGCTTCTTCTACAAGATAACTTCTTACTGGACTGCAAACGGCACTTGTCTTTCTGTGCCTTGCGGGGGGTCGGTCGAAGGGCATAGGTAGTGTGGTCACATACACTGTTAAAAAAAACCGTAAAATTACAGGGAGCGCCAACGGGACCAGAGCCGCTCGCGAGCCGTCGTTGCCGTTTCGCCGTAAACCCCTCCACCGCACCCGAACGAACAGACATAGCCGGCGCGCTGCGCAGGCGCAGTCAATGCAGCCCTTTTATTCGGAGAGGCGGAAGGTCACGTGAACTTCTTTCCCGCGCTCCCGTGGGACGCTGTCCGCGTGAAGGCACCCCTGGCGCATGCGCAGTGAGCGTGTCGAGGCAGATCCCGCGCAATTCGGCGACTTTGTGGACGTGTTTTTGGTTCGCCGCACTCAAACCTGGAGATTTCACGGTAAGTGCATTACATCCCCTTCCTTGAACTGTTTGATGAATACCTGTCGCACCACTGTTTTCTTACATGAGTCGAGCAGTTGTCTGGATTCACTATTATGCATTGCTCGCCACAAGCGTGTGCAGACGATGTGCGCCTCGCGCTGGAGGTGCGTAGCGTTTTGGGGTGACGGGGTCTTTGCCTTGTTGCTTTCGAGTGTTACTCTAGCATTATCACGAGACGTAGTGTGTCGGTGTTCTACGTTTTTCTTGCTCCCTTCTTAGTTAAATATTATTCGGCTACGTGAAACGCTCTTGGATTAGCGCTCCGCTGGAAAGGCAGAGGTCCCTGGTCCGGTTCGAGGACCATGCACGCCGATTTTTTCGGTAGCTGCTTGTTCGACATAGCGTGCTGTTCAGGTGCAATTTGTTTCGAAACATGCAAAGCGACACAGTGCAATGAGGTTTCAAGTGCCCACAATAATATACTATATACGTTTGACTGAAGTGTAAAAAACTAGTGCCAAAATTTCTTTTTTTTTTTTTTGTTCGTTTGTGCCGAGCCGACATTTAGCTTCCGTGCACTCTCATATTGTTACGGTAGACTTGTGTGGATTTAGGAAACTTTAAATTGATCGATTCGACCTTCGTGTCTAACACTGCCAGTACTCAGATGCTTTGCAGTACGTCTTTAAGTCCGCGGTCTTTTTTTTTTTTTTTTTTTTGAGTTCGTTGAGTTTAGTTTTCTCCATTCCTTGGTGCGCTACTGTGTAGCGACGGCGCCGGACTCTACGTAATGAGTCATGACTGAAACACATTCGCGAAAAGCGGCCAAATTGTATGAAGAAATCGCAAACGAAAATCAGACAGCAACTCCTATTGCCTTTTTTTTTTTTTTTTTTTTTTTTCGGCGGGGAAACCCGGAGGGGGACGGAGCGATGTCGCAACGTTACTTCGGGAGTTCCGTCCGTTCCGTCCCTCTCCGGGTTTTCTACGCTATGGCGCAGCCGCGGGGCCGCGGCAGCCGCCGAGGCTGGTTGAGTGTTTCCGCGGTTTTTGATCAGCTTTGTACGAAGACTGATTTTCGCCAATCTTTGTCGTGTTACGTGTATGTGGTGAACGGAGCATTGCGAAGACTGAGAATTATGTGGGCGGTTCGCTGTGTTGTGGCATTCGGGCAAAGCAAGATCGCGGTGAGTTTGCTCGTGTACAGTCGGCGGTAAAAGTTTGCGGGGCGCGGGAGCGTCAGCCGAAATGACTGGTTGCGCCTTCTGCGGCGCGCGGCCGCTCTCAAGATTCACGCTTCGAGAATGTGCTTCCTTTCGTGCTCGAAGCCATGACTTTTTCGCTCGCTTCCGCCCGACGTGCACGAGATAACCGGGGACCGGCGCAAGGTGCCGCTATGACAGCCCTCACGCCGCGCGTCTGCCTCAGCCACCGTGGTAGGTGACGAAACTCGCGCATGCTACAGATAACATTTCGCGGCACCTTGCGCCAGTCCCAGTTATATATCGTGCGTGTCGAACGGAAGCGAGCGAAAAAAGCATGACCGCGAACAAGAAAGGAAGCGCGTGCGCATAGCGTGAGTCTTGGAGCAGCAACGTGCGTGAGAAGGCGCAGCCAGTCTTTTCGGCAGGCGCTCCCGTGCCCCGCAAACGTTTGCTCCCGACTGTACGTCGGCCGATGCTCGTGTCGGTGCACATCTCAATCTCAACTAAACATCGAGCGCCGATTGTGGCTGACTCCATGCATGTAAGAACGAATTAATCTACCAGGAACTTCGTGAATAAGAACGAGGCAAGCGTGTGGCTGTAGAAGGATGTCGTGACCGGTGGCATACGTACACTGGTTTCCGCACGTTGCTTCTGTTTACTTTATCTGTTGTAATAGCAGTCTTTGTACCGGTGCGTGAAGGCTTTGGTTGCTTCGAAAACCAAAGCTGATACCGCCAGTCTCTTTTTATCCGATGATTCTGTCAAGTCCTAATCACGGCGTCATATATATATATATATATATATATGAGTGCACGTTTGGTGTTGTTTGCATTAATTTTACTGCGGAGGACGTTGCCTTTTGCGCGGGATCAGTCTTCTCGTGTAACTTGTCTCCCAAATTTGCGTGCAACAATTTTTGCACCCTCCGATTTCCGTTCTATATTCGGTTTCTTTTCTTGTAAATGTGTTTCAGCCTTAACATTTTGCCGCGGCGCAGCTCTGTTCAGAGAAGAAACGGTCTCAGCACAGCAGGGTGCACGAAGCGCGTCGTGTGTTTAGAGAAAAAGAAAATGAAATTGGGCAAGAAATGATTTGGTAACTGCACCGTAATAAGTGGCTGCCAGCAGTGGAAAAAAAAAAAAAAGAGAGATATGTTGCCTTATAGTTGGAGTTAAGTCATCTGCCTTATTGTAGTATTTGAGGTAGAAAGGAGAACAAACTAGATGCCTGGGCCGGCTTGCAAGAGACAGCGTCTCGGTTGAGACTGCTCAAAGAAAGCGCTGCCAAGGCTCGGGCGCGCGAGCGTCTAGGACTCGGTTTAAGCTCTAGCACTAGCCTTGACAGCGCTTTCTTTGAGCAGTCTCAACCGAGACTCTGCTTCATGCAAGCCGGCCCACATATCTAGAAAACCAATTTTCTGCCCCAAAAGGTGGTAAAAAAAATGTGTCACATTACTGTGCAATTGCGGGGCGTTAGCGTGAAACATTTTCGCGGTAGACTGCAACGCAAACAAAAAATGGAAAAGAGCAAGAAAAAAAAAAAAAACAGTAAGTCCAGCGCGAAATGCTAGGGAAAGGAAGGTGGGAGTGGAGGAAGCAGATGGATAGCTGGCAAGGAGAGGAGGAATTTCCTTGCCAGCGTTGTTTACTTACTCCTTTCCATGTTCCTTTCCCTTGCCCTTGGCAGCAGTTTAAATCAAATAGCGCTGCATCGTCCTGGCTTTCATTGCACTGCTCAAGCTATGAATGACAAGGCGCTATACCATTCCAGCCGAGCTCTGTTCACCTGACCTCTCAAGCTAGATGCACAGAAGCGAAAACCTAGCCAACCTAGCCGAACGTTTCACATGACAATTACTGCGGCCATTCATATCACTGCCCAATGTTAGCATGCTAGACTGTAGCTCCTCATGGCTCGCGCAACCTAAAAGAACACGGAAACATAGTTTTGTATGTTAAGACTGGACGACAAGACGACACGCACGCTGCAGGTGTAGACAGGCTGGTGCAGGTGTTCTATCTTTCTGGTGTAAATAGAAACATTGCCTTCAGATTAACACAGAACATTGAGGATGGCTGTTTTGTACTTCAGTTTAAACACAATGTTAGTTTTGAAACTTGATGAAAGCTCACGTTAAGTGCTTTATAATCCTTACTGTGTTAATTTCTAGATAGGTGTGTGTTTATGCTGTGTGTCATTATCTTCACAAGCACAGTTGATTTAATGTTCACTGACTTCAGTTGTGGCAGAAATAAAAAAATTTGGGGTCAAGGATTAATATCTTTGGATTAGGACTTCGCCACGATTGCTTCGAATATTGGTAATGTTTCAGGTATCTTTATAAAAATGCAAAGATCATGTGTTTAAGTACAAAATTGGGAGAGAAAAATGTTTTTTTGCAGATCTTGGGACTTAAAGTAGACCTTCTATCCGAAAAAAGAAAGCCAAATTGTTCAGCTCTCATGTCGTCTTAGGATATTGTATTTCTCAGGGTCCCAACAAACATGTTCAATATTAAATCAACTTGAAATAAACCAAGCACTCCTTTTTGGTTATAGATGAGACATCACTGCAAAAGATGCCAGAAAAAGTTTACATCATTGGACACGTTCTTCAAGCACACATTATATCATGAAACATCATCAAGAGGTGTTCCATGCAGCGTTGTCGGCTGTGAGGCTGCATTCAAAAATTACAACTCATTGCGAAGCCACATCACAAGGTGTCATTCTCCGCTTGCACCTCGTAATGCAACTAACTTCCAATCCTGCCGGACATGCAGTGTTAGTTCCTGCAGTGAAGAGGTGAGCCCTGGAAAGGCTTTTATCGAGCACCTCAAAAAACATCTCACCGGCAACCCGCCAACTGTTGTAACTTGTCCAATTGATGCGTGTGATAGCCAGCTTAGGACATGGGGTTCACTCATGACCCATCTTTCCATATGCCATGGGAATGGAAAAAAAAAAAATCAGTGGTGACAGAGCCAGTAGAGCAGGATGAAATAGTGACGTCATGCTGTAGCAAGGATGACAATGGTCTGGAGAACATTAGGGAAAAACCAGACGTTGAGAGTGAAGTGCCTTCAGTCATAGATGATGTGGATCCCACTCACTTAGATCCAGACTCTTTCCTTTTTAAAAAGGCAGAATATGTTCAGTTCTTTGCAAGAGTCACTCACTTCTAAAACAAACATACACTATTATGCTCATAAAAAGGTGCTTTGAACGACGAATACGATTGCTACTTTCACCATACAGTGGTCCTTGCAGATTTCTTTCCTTCAATATTTTGCTTTTCCCAAAAAGGTATTTTGATTACAAAGATTTTGGATATGAGGAGTCAGTGATAACATGAATTTTTTAAGGCTTACAGGTGTCTGTCTGGACGGAACATTGAGCCTGCCCAAAGATGTCCTCCTCCTCGTGACATTCCTATGTTCAAGCCCCAAAAATGATGCTGTGCTCGAGTGGAGCCTCAAAATCAACAAGGCCGAGGCAGAGTTCAAAGATCAAAACGCAGCAGCTGTCTGCCTCCTCCCATTGCTTGCATCCTACTTTCAAGAAAACCTCGGAGAGCTCTTCCAGTTACATCAGGTAGGAGCATTCATAATAACCAGGTTATTTGTTTCCAAAGACACATCCTCATGACCTTGTTGAAAATAACTTCCTGGAAGTCTCACACAGGCAGTCAGCATTCCACTGAGAAACTATGCATCTGGAAATACTAAACTTTTCTTCATTTTTTGAAATTTTCAGCTATATCAGTCTTCCTGTATACCGTAACATACCGGTCATGCACCTATGTCCGAATAGGCGCCTACCTAGTGATTTTTAACCATTGGAGCAATGCCTTGTACTCTTTCTGCAGTTTCGCTTTCTGAGCGACCATCCCCCCACTTTTTCAGAATTGTCTGCAAAATCTTTGTGAACGCTTTCTTGGTATCTGACGACAATGCTGATAATGAGCACGTAAAAAGTGAAATTACTATTGCTCTACGAGGAGCCAAACCTTCCTTAATCTTTTCCTGGCTGAGGTGGCTCAACTTATTATACTTCACATTAGAGTGCAATGGGAAGATATGCAACTCTAGGCTGGGTCATCTTATAGTATGTTCTACATAAATATTTCACTAAACCAAAGGGGGAGCGGCGGTGGGCACTCACTCTTGTACCACTTGCTTCTAATGGGTTCACATGATGTTTTGCATTTTTGGGATCGAGTGTTAGAGTTAACACAAAAATTGTGCTAGAGAATTAACTAGTGACAAACGTTTGTACTTCCACTTCGACTCCTAAGTTAGGATCATTTGTTTTTAATATTAGCAGCTTCCTTGTCCCGCAGGTGTAACAATGAGGCTTTGTGACAGATATCAGCAGATACATTGCTGCTTATTTAACATTGTTTTTTAGTTGTTATTGAGCGTTAGGACAACAAATGTTTGTAGTTAAAAATGTCCTTATTAGTGAGAAAATAACAGGAACCGCATCCTTTGATCTCAGCAAACGCTATCTCCTGTAGGTGGGATGAAGGGTTAAAGGAAATAAGGGTGAGATGAAAATAAAGTGGGTGAGACGAACCTCTTTCACATAAGTGAGGGGTGAATGGAGAATAGCCTTTTGGTATTCCCGAATACACGTGGGATTAACAGACTCTTTCAAGGTTTGGGGTTCTTGCATGTGTGGGCAGTACCAGGAGTGCGCTTCTGTGACTGTGACCTCGCAGTGGGCGCATAGGCTGTTGTCTTTTTCCTGTGTATGGCGGCTTATGCACCATGTTCTTGTGGGTGTTACATTTTGCTGTTTCCTTGGAAACCATAGTGGTGTGGGTCCGTTGTCTTTTCAGGCGAACCTCTTCCCACCTGGTATAATTACCATCTGGGAGTGGGTCTAAGTCTTCTTTGAGTAGAGCCGTGAGGTGTTTTCAGTGGGCCTGTTGTTTGGCTTCCTGGGAGAATAGGGGATCCTTTGTGTCTTTTTCAATGAAGGCGGCGCTGTTGTCACCAAGGATAGTAAGGATAAGGGAAGACAAAAACTCGCATGCGGCGGCAGACACTGTTTTATTTACTTGGGAATGGTTTGGTGTACCAGGAAGCAGTGGATTTAAAGTTGTCGGCCTTCCTGCCAGAGTCCTTTAAATGTGCCCCACACTCGTCGTGTGTTATCTCGGAGCTTGCACCTCAGTTGTTTACGGAGCTTCTGGGTGTATTTTTTATCTTCACCGTGCTTGCATTGAAATTGGCTTGGAGTTTTCAGTCCTTATTTCTCCTGTAACATTGTTGGGCTTGCAGTCTGATAGCACACAAGTTGAGGAGATGAAGGTCGGGGTCTGGGTCGTCTTGTTTGGCTTGGTACTTTTGAGTGGATGTGGCTTTCATTATTCGCTCACCTAGACACTTTTTCAGGTGCTAGGTTAATGAAGCTGATCTGTCATTTAGTGTTGGGGTGTCTTTCTGTCATTAATTCTATTTCGACGGGTAGGTGCTTGCTTCCCAAGGCGTCGGAGCAGTTCGCACTCGGGCTTGGATGTTGTGTATGGCCCATGTCAAGTCTTGTGGTGTCGTTCTCAGTGCGACGTTTGCCAATGCGAATGGCAGTCTGTTTTTCTTTGAGAATTCATAGATTGGCCTGCTTGGCGGGTGTGAAGACATTGCACTCTCTGTCATTGTCTCGCTTGTATCCCCATATTCGTGCATCTGCGGTAAAGTCGCCGGCCACGATAAGTTCTTCGGGCATCATTCTTTGCGATCCGCCTTACGTCGTCTTGCTTGTGTCCTACAGTTCTACATTCTGTGGGAATAAATATAGACCCATAGATGTATGGTACCTTCACTAGCATTTCGTGCATTTCTCAATTAACCACACATGTTTTCTGACTTTTCTTAGGTGACAACAGAAATCACAGAGGAGTTTCGTAACAGTCTGCCTGCTTCTCCTGTAATTGTTGCACTGGGTGAGCTTCATGTGTCTTTTCCTTGCATGCTTTGTATTTTTGAAGGTGCTTTCTTTTTTAATTTGTGTTGAATTTTGGAACAACAACCTAGACCGTTTTATCGTGGGTAGTGCCATTTTAAGAGTGAGAGAGAGAAGAGGGGTCAGTCCAGATGACTCCTAGTGACTCAATTGTAGTGGGATACTGTAGTGGTGTAACCAGAGTGCTGGAATACTGCAGTGGTGTAACCAAAGGGTGGTGTGCCGATTTTGACCAGAGCTAGATAGACGACCACATTGTTTGGTTTCGGCAGCCTTATCAAGCACCAATGTAAAGCACATGTCCTGGTATTATACCATACTTTGACAATCAATGTTTGATTGATCCAGCAAGAAAAAGAGAAGTTTTTATTTTGGTTTGTGAGTGAAGGTGCCACAAAACGGCATACAGCCCAAACAGCAGGTGCCTGTGAGGCATTTGATTGTTTGGGCCTGCATTCTGTGTCTTGTCCAACCCAAACAGCCAAATTTTCTGCTCGTAGAATGTGTGGTCGCATGCGGTCTCCGGTCATTTAATTTCTAGCTAAAGCAATTTAAACGAAACCGACGACTGGCATTGCACGTTGGCATCAGACTTCCATGCTACTGATTCTGTTCACAAACTCAACAAAAAGTGTTTGATTCTACATGCTCATATACAAATTTTTTGTTTTGTTCAAACCTTCAGCAGCACTTTGCATAACTTAATGTCATTACTGGGTATGGTAGCTCAACACTATTTAGTGCGACCCTTATTTGGCTTGGCATATAAGGTGTGCCTTATCTGTGATTGTGATGCATCTCAGTCTCAGATCTCAGATATGCGTCACAATCCTATATCGGTGTGCCTACCTATTCAGTGTCCCTGCTGGTAATACCTCTATAGAAGTTTCCAGATGCGAATATGACAATGGTATTTTTTTCTTCATTTAATGCGTGAGCGTTAAAAGCCCTATTAGAGAAAAAGCCGGCGTAGTGGTGTCGGTCGCATGACTTTTCTGGTCACTTGACTAGATAGGTCGATACATCTGATACTAACACATTTTCTCCGTATTAATTACATTAATCGCTTGTTTCTTTCCTAGGCCGCTCACTTTTCGAATGCAGCTGCCAGCTGTTTGTGGACCATGAGGTGATGGTGGAAGATGTGGGCTTTCTGCAAGCTGTGGAGCTCCTTTTCGCCCTTTATTATTGTTTAAACATCCAGTATGCCAAAGGTGCGGGAACCACACTTGAGTTCATTCAGAGGTATGGTTTATTTCCTTCATAATTTTGAGCCTCATGAGAGGCAATAAAGAGCAACTCTGCTGAATTTTGGCTGAGAAAACGATTAGTTCTCTTTATAATCATCTAGGAAGGCTACAACTGAAATCTTTCTGTATATAAAATTGGACCCTCAAAGTTTGACAAGCGCTAATCTGCTAATTTTAGCGAGCGATGTGCAGGCTAGCCAACTTTGGCACTTCCTTCAGATGTGACATCATGTTGATGTCTGTTGTATACACCGGCTTTTTTCTCTTTCAACGCCATCACATGTCCAGTCAGTTCAGACAACACTACCTAGAGTTGACCCAGTGAGTGGGGTAAATCACGTAATCATGCATCTGCCATGGACATGAGTGTGCATGCAACTGACGTCGCTGCTTGCCCTTTGCCGAAGTTTCGGTTTCAATTTGCGACTTGAGTTATAAATAGCAAAGTTGCACAAACAATATTCTACTTTTCGTGAAACAATGTAGAGTTGTTCATGAGTGCTTTTCAAAGTAAGGTCATCCACTATCTTGAAATTTTCTAAATTGAGTAGAGTTGCCCTTTAATTTGTCACTGGCTACCCACATTTCCAAGCTCAATTTCAGAGTCCATTATTAAACCGCAATAGGGTGTTGTATTCTTGGACCACAGAATGAATAAAACGTGCTCGGGACGAAGGAGACGACAAACATTTCTTTCAACTAAGAACAACAGGAATGAACTTAAGAGCACTCCGTGCAATTCAGACTGCCAAGAAAATGGAGAGAAAGGGAGGCAGGAAGATAAAAAGGAAAGTGTAAAGTTAGAATTGTAACTCATGCTGTTACTTCACTCTTTTTCTTATTTCCTTCCTTACAATTTTTGACACTTACCTTTCTCTCTTTCTGCCTCCCTTTCTCTCAATTTCCTTGGCGGTCTGAATTGAAGGAAGTGTTTTTAAGCTCATTCATGTTGTTAATTAAAAGAAATGTTTGTCGTCCTTCGTCCGGGTATGTTTTGTTCTTTCTGTGGTCTGTGAATTTTACCAACACACTCTTCAGTTACTTTAAAGGTTGTTATATCTTGCATAATAATTCGATTTAAAAATTTCACCTAATGTTACAATGTGACTATGTTTGATCCTATCCCAGAAATCACAAATAAATATGTCAATATATCTACTATTCCTATTGTTTTATCTTTACTGAATGTGTCATTTACTTATAATTCTATTTGGCATTCAGTTAGAAGGCAGAGTCATAAGCAGTATACATCATTAATTATTTTTGGCTGGAAACAAATTGGAGCCTCAAAATATGTTTAATATACTCAGCTAATTATTTATTTAAGAGTTTCTTTACTGCACCACACTATTCTGTATCACTCTAAAAGTGTCTAGAAGTGATATGTGCAGATGATCTCTAATTCATCTAATTCATAACTAAATTTGACCGATATACAACCTTTTCACAACTTTTTGAAGCTTTATTTCTGCATGTTTTAGTAGCATGTGGTTCATGTTTGATTTTGTACCTGAATACCTTTTTCTCGTCTTTATACATGTTTATCAATCGTATGTTCTTTCGACAGTGGCTGGCCAAAATGTGGCTTCCTAAAAAAAGAGAACGATTCTCTTACAACATTCCTTTTGCCATGTCTGGTGCTTTTAAGCAATCATTAACAGCTAGTTGAGTATTTTAGGTCATTCAACTGTCTGCAATACTAATTATGCAAATGAGTGCATGCTTAATTACGAGTAGAAATGCAGAGAAGGAATTGCTTTGTGAGTGTGTAGGACAACAGACAAATTTTAATGCTGTATTGTAATAAAAGAAGTAAGCACGAAGCAGGGATGGGCAAATTACATGCAAATATGTATCGAAATACAAATACAAAATGCTTCGTCAAAAATGTATTTAATTACAAATCTAATTACTTTAGCAAAAAAGTATTTAAGTACAAGATACAAATACAGACAGAAAAGTAGTTGGTCTCTTCCAAATACTTTTCCAAATACATTGCTTAAAATTTGCGTCAGCGACTTCAGGGCACCTGCAACAGGTTTCTGGGCATCTCATTTTAATTTTGCATCGCACACTCGGGAGTTAGTGCTCGAGGCTCTAGTAACGTAATACAAATATAATCACAAAAAGAAATGTAATCAGCTTGGACGTAATAGGTGAAAAAAGTACAGAGCTTCAAGCAGTTTTTTTTTTTTTTTGATTACATTTTGGTATAGACAATCAAAGGACCGAGACGACCAAGACGCGCAGCACTAGCTACAGATTTTTTTATTGTTGCAACTCGCACCAGTTACAAACATCTGGATGACCCGCGCATTTAGAATGTTCGAGGCAAAAGTATGGATGGAAATCAGGCTGGAAAGCATCACAAGTTGTCACTGTCACTTATTTAGCCAGTCTGCCTGTGAACGTCGATTTCGTCACTATTCTTTCCCTGGACTAGCATCGTAATTACAAAGTCACAAAACGCTTGTGCTTGATTGAGAGACACTGCATTCGGTGCAGAACGTAGTTTTCTTCCTGCTCTGGACAGTGACAATAAATTTGAGGGATGTATTTTCGCCCACAAAATTGTATTTAATTACAATTGTATTTGAAATACACACGTTTTAGTATTTAAATACACACATCAAATACATTACAGAATTTTTAATTAAATACAAATGCAAAATACACAAAGTATTTGAAATACGTAGTTCAAATACTTGTATTTGAAATACTGCCCATCCCTGGCGCGAAGTATGTACTTGTTCTTCTGTTTATGTCGCTGCTATAAAATTTACTTTTGTTTGCTTCCAAAACTTCTCCCAAATGACTCAAATCAATTACATCGCTGTCTGTTCAATATCTTTTTAAATCAACATGTTTTTAGTGTTTTGTAGGTCTAAAAGTTACATATATGAATCCTACCCCTTAAGATGTGCCACATGGGGCTTATAACTTCTGAAATATTCCGAGTTCTGTATCCCCATCGCATCTGAGTGAGGGAAGCCTTGAGTGCCAGATTTTCTCCTCTGTCAGAAAAATGACACATTATTACAATATTTTTTTGTTGTTCCCTCATTGTTTTATTTTCCTCAAAATCTAGGCATGAATTTGTAGCTTGACATATTTTCTTTAAGTGCACAGTGCACAGTCTGCTGGCCTAAATGTAGGTTTTGCTCAGCTTGTTATGGCTTAATTGTTATTGCAGGAACCTTCAACACACTTATACATTTGAACTGTGCACCTATGTGACTTTGGTGGCAAAGCTTAGGGCTTTCGACATTAGTTGTGCATGTAAAATATCAGCAAGTACTGATCCCAAATCCTTCACTGCAATTTTTTTTCACTTGTCTGGTTTCTGACCAAATACTTATGGGCCAATCTGCTATTTGTTTCAGATACCAGGTTGGTATCAAACAACATGATGGGTCACGACAGGAGGCCGGGAGGTCGAAAGGAGCTCGGGCAAGAGCAATCAAAGCCGCCACAGATCTTGCTGCTTTTGAGAAAAAATGGAACAGTGTGAGTACATATTTGATTTGGCATGTGTACGATGTGGTATCAAAAGGTTTCCAGTCTTGTCTTGTATTAAAAAGAAAAGCAAATGGCGGCACAACACTGCATTCACAGGGGTCGAGGGCAGCAACCTTGATCTGTCATGGTGCTGAGTGGCTCAATGTGGCAATGCACAGGCGAGTTGGTGCATGATTATAACTGGTAGCAGCATGCAAAAACACACGGACAAAGGGACGAATGCACAGGACTTCGGTGTTTCCTTTTCATTAAACATTTAGTTGAAGTTCAGCGCTCGCCTTGTGCATTTCCTCCCTTTGTCCTTGTGTTTTTGCGCGCTGCTACCAGAGGCTTAGAGCATCGCTCTGTGAGCTTGGGAGCCCCTGCTGTGCAGGTTTTTGTGACTTCATGTGCGTGCGCCTCTGCAATTTGTGCAAGTGGTTGTGGTCCTCCCGTAGCCTTTTCAATCATCTGAATATGAATTTGTTTTATTTTCAGCTCATCTGATGATCGATCGGATGCCATGAAGGTTTCTTTATAATTATGTTCTTTTACGGTTTACAATATAGTTCTTCAATTTCAAAACTGCCTCCGTTTTGTCTTGTCCCTTTTTTCAGACACACCACTTGTTTATAAGGATTTGTCGTTATATTACGGAACTGTACTGCGCTAACTCATGATGCCAGACATTCTCTGTAACCCTCCGTAATACTACCAAGGCCGTAGCTGAGAGTTCACATTATTGTTACCGTACAGCGAGCACACAGCGATAGAAGTGCAGTACGCAAGTACGGGATTAAAGCTGCAAACTAAACTTGAGGTATGCAAGCCGTCAAGCGTTCCGACGGTATTGAAGGCGTAAGGGAAGGGTACGGTAACTGAACTGTTACCGTTACAATACGGCAATGGAAGTGCAGTATGAAAATACGGGACTGAAACCGTACCCTTCCCTTACGCCTTCAATACCGTCTGAACACTCGACGGCTTGGATACCTGGAGCTAAGTTTGCGGCTTTAGTCCTGTACTTGCGTACTGCGCTTCTGTTGCTCTATGTCTGCTGTACAGAAATGATAATGTAAACTGTCAGCTACGGCTTTGGTGGTATTACGGAACGTTACAGATAATGTCTGGCATGGGGCACCAGTGAGGGGCCATGCTTGCAATTGTCTATAGCCCAGACGCCCATGCACCGCCTTTTTGTATCCGAACCAAATGGGGCAAAACTTACCTGTATGCCCAATTGAAGACCGCAGCCGATAGAGGTCCCACCACCGACTTCAAGGCGATCCACCATGTCAGCAAGGTTTTCGCGTGCGCCACTTATGCTCAATTTTATGAGGTGCTGCAGTACTTTACAAGACGAGTTAAACCTAATGATGCCCACGCTCTCATCGTCGTTGATCACGTGTCGGATTATGTGGCTGAAGGAGTATTGTAGGAACTGAATCCTTCTGGAAGCCTGCATTTAAACGTGACATTTCATGAAAATGTCACCGTAATTGAAATTTTCACAATGAAAATGTCTGCATGAGATTGGTTACACCAACCTCACGCAGGAAGAACCAGCCGCCCCAGCGCGCCTGAAACCGGACATCCTGAACCGCGTACAGGCGGCACCTATCCCTAAGAACATGCACCCAGACCTCCACGCAGGACGAAGAGAGGCTAGGGTCCTGGCTTTACAGAAAGTCTACGGCCCAGACCCACAAACACGGTACACAGATGCTGCCCTCCACAGGGAAAGAGCTGGAGCAGTAACCATTGCAGTGACAGACAGAGACGGCACCTGCCACAGCACGGCCTTCATCTCAAACAAAGTATCAATCCACGAGGGGGAGGAGATGGCCATAGCGTTGGCCATCTCACACGCAATCCCACGCAAAGAGACGACCGACCTCAAAAGTAAGATAATTATCGCCACCGACTCGCAAGCAGCGTGCAGAGCGTTTGCGGGCAACACCCTCTACCAACGGACAGCACACCTCATCAACGCCATAACCACCGAATGGTTACAAATACCGGTCATCCGGGTCATCTGGACCCGTGCAAATCTGGACTTATCCTGCAACGAAAGTGCTCACGCACTAGCCCGAGCGGTAGCGACGAACCAGGCTTTGTCGGATTGGATCAAGATACAGGGGGACTCAGAGCCAAACGCACCCGCAGACTCCCAGTCCCTCCGCACCCCCAGCTGATACACACCTTAACGCCTATACCACCTGGTAACAGAATACTACCGAACAACCCGCCGGGTCCTGCCCCCTCCGCATCGGGAGCTATCCCGGGCGGAGGCAGCGGACTGGCGACAAATTCGAACGTTTACGTTCCCTAATCTCCATCAGCGATATCGCAGGTTCCCCAACCGCTACCCAAGCACCTGCCTGGGATGTGGCAGGGATCACCTTAACGCGTCCCAATTCAGCTGGGAATGCCCCCCCCCCCCCCCCCCCTCGGTGAGAGTATCACCCCCATTCCTTGCCCAACCCTCTACTCCTGTGAGGCGGCCCTATCCGGCACAGAGCTCGGTGACCAGCAGCGACTGGTTGAGCGAGTCCGCCGAATCTGGGCGGCCGCCCAGATTCGGCGGACTCGCTCAACCAGTCGCTGCTGGTCACCGAGCTCTATAGGTACCTCGTCCCCCGATGATGAATTTAATCTTCTTTTTCTGCATTAGAAAGTGTCATTTCATGACAAAATTAAGTAAAGCTAAGTCTCGAAGGTTTGAAGAAAGTACGACAATTTCAAAAGCCATAGATAAGACTGGGAAGACACTAGTGGTGATCACCAGCACGTTCACTCCCCCCCAATTCTGGTTCCCACGTCGCTTGGAACGGACTGCCAAGTAGCTCTTTTTGTCGGGGGAAACAAAAGCGCTTGAGGTGGGCGCAATGATGGGCATTCAGCCCGGTTGCGCCTAATCGTGTTTAAATGTCCGGTGGCGAACACGCTAAAGGGACGCCGGGCCCGAGCAACGCAAAACCATTGCTTGAAAGCGTTTTCCTTGCCTCTTGCCACGAGCTTAGGGGACTCGGCTGAATAGCATTTTTAAATTAATCCATGTCCTGGGGCGCTTTGCAGATAAAGGTGGGTTCCTCTCCCGGGGGCTAAAATCTCAGTGAGAAAGATATTTGGTCACGTGACCTGCTTCGTGGGCACGAGGTACCTATAAAACTCCACATAAACTATTTTCTGCTAGATTGTCAAGGCTAGCGCCGCTTCCGCAGTGCTGCAACTCAGGCTGTTGCTCAGCACTGCTGCAAAAGCACGTGGCTTCGTTCGACGTCTCATTCCCACGCACTCTCGCGCAAAGGAGACGCCAAACAAAGCGACGCGCTCGCACAATAACTTTGTCTGCATTACTGCTCTGTACAAGCTACGCCAGCTTTGACACTAAAGCACAACACAGTTGACGCCGATAGCGGTTCAGGCAAATGGATGCCATAAGGTCGTCCTCGCTTCTAATATTCAAATACGATTTTTTTCGCAAAAAGGAGGTGACCAAGTGAGGAAATTAAGTCAAATTAATTGCATTGGTGCGCTTTATGGGGCAGCACGCGGGTTTTTTTCTGGGAGAGGTCGTTATAAGCGAAAATCAAAGAAAATTATGGGCACGGTTTATGTCTCCTGAGTGGAATCTGCTGGAGCGCTAAGTACCCCCCCTCCCCCTCTTACAGAACCGGCAACGTGACCCTGAAACCCCTCATACCCGCCAGTGAGAACACCCGCATCACTAGCAAACCGTCCCTTGCGAAATAACAGGCCGTGGAGGAGTGCACCCTTACAAAAATATGTATGGACATTTCTTGGACGTTCTATAGACCAGCGTCCATAGGGAGAACAAAAGGCATCTATAGGCAGGCCACGACCTCTGTTGCCTCCGTGAAGTCGTCCTATGGCTGCCCTATAGAATATTGGCCAACGGACGTTCTATGGACGTCCTATTCTATGGATGATGTGTGGTCATCCTATACCCTCTCTATGGCAAGGCGCCATATAGAGTCCATAGGGACTCTATAGGGTGTCTACACAGGGTCTTTACGGTGTCTATAGGGTGCCTGCAGAAAACCCATACGAAGTCTACAAGGAGTCCCTAGGAAGTCCACAGGGAAGCCATACATGGTCTACACAGGGTCCTCATGGGGTCTGCAAAAAAGCCATACAAGGTCTACAGTGAGTCCCTACAGGGTCCGCAGAGAAGCCACTCAGTCTGCAGGGGGTCTGCTATGGGGTCCGCACCGACCAACGTTTCTAGATTAAGTCAGTTGGGAAAGTGCTAAAGATCTTGCTCTGAAAAAGCGGCACCGATCTGTACTCGAAAACCAAACTAATTGCGATCGCAACGCCACCATTCCACCCGCAGCGGCTACTTGGATAACTGCACGACTGCGTGTGTTGGTTTGGGACTATCGATATTCGACAGCATGTGACTGTTCTGCTTGGGCTTTAATCGGCCACTTTGGCGCCGAAACATATACGGTAGAAGAGGGCTTTCAAGGGATGCCAACCCTTGGCTCCCAGGCGGACATGCCGCGAATTGCCACCGAAGTTAGGACGCACCCAAATCGGGACGCGCTACCTGAAGTCGCCGGTGAGGCATGGCTGTAAAAAAAAATATTAATTGTGCCGCAAAACCCTGTAAGCTAAAAGTGTATGCAAACATCACGCTCTTGTCATTTTGTACTGATCTCCAATAAAGGATTCTACAAAAAGAGCTTTTCCCAATTTGTTTTTACGCAAAAACGTGCCCTGTAAAAGTCATTTTAAAGAGTGTAGGGTGCTTAGGGGTCTGCAAAGAAGCCATACAAGGTCTATAGGGAGTACGTAAGGGGTTCACAGGAGAGCCATACAGGGTCCACAGGGAAGCCATACAGGATCTACACGGGCTCCTTATGGAGTCTGCAGAGAAGCCATACAGGGTCTGCACGGAGTCCCTACGGGGTCCATAGAGAAGCCACTTTAAGCGATGGTGGTACCGCGGTGTGAGAATCGCACTCCCTAGCTCCTAAATGATTGGCCTCATAATAAAATGGCTCGCCTACACATTCCTGACGTGAAAAAAAACATAAAGTAAGTCTCTGATACTGCGCGTATATAGCAAAACTACAATTACTTACGCGTCGCGCGCAAACCCAGCCTAGTATACCGCTTTTTAACGACGATCATCCAGATGACCACAATTTTGATAGGCACCAGTGCGCCCCCTATGGGTTGTGAAAGTTGCGAATATCTACGGGGGCCGCAGCGACCCACATATACCTACCTCCCACTGAGAAAGTATAAACATTATTCTGGCACATACTAAACACATCCATCTCCACAATGAGTATACCCTGAAGTTGGATATGCCTCTAGACATCAATGTAACATATTGATACCCGGAACTTAATTAAAACTCTTTAACTCGGACACCTCACTACACCCAAAGAAAACGTCTGCCCGGCATCACTTTATTAATGCACCAATATATAGCTCACACCATAGAGAGGCAATAGGATGACCATAGACTCACCGGGACCATAGGACGGAAATAGGAAGGAAGGAAAAACTTTTTCTTTCGCGAAGATCTCTATAGCGTTTTTGTGTCCATTCTGTGGCAAACCAATGGTACAAAGACGGTCTAAGAACTGTCTACAGGAATCCATAGGATGGACAAAGAGGTAATAGAACGGCAACAGTATGGACATAGGACGTCCATACATATTTTTGTATGGGCAGTCATCAACTGGCCTTGGCACCAGGCTCGCAGACGACATTTAGTCATTTAGAAGATGGTTGTAATTTGTCACATGTTTGAGACTTGCACTCATCAATGATCTTGCCCTCTTAGGCAGCCAAACCCCTTTAGCTAACTGTGACTGTCCGTGTAAGGGTACCCGGAAGTTGTATTGCCGTGGTAAATAAAATCAATCCAGACTGGTCTCGAATGAAACCAAACACAAAGCGGTTGACGTCTACGCAACGTCTGATATTTTACAGAAAAGAGCTACTGCACATATTCACGATGCATCTGACATCTTATAAAACAAAAAAGTTGGCAGCACGCGCAAGGCGATATTGGAATAATGTTTATGGCATAATAGGCATAACAAAGAAATGTGCTTTCGTGTCACTGCCGTAGCGACTCGTGGTGTACACCTTTCTAAGAAAACGCTCCTTGGCCGCCGCCATGTTGATGATGATGATGCAGCTGGCGCGACTCTCGCGCCCGCTATCAGCTGGAAATCTTTGCCTCACTCTTGGACTGCGGAAAACGGCTCAGCGCGATTCTCTACCTATGTTTTGCAGTTTTGCATTCTAAGTTTTCCGGTCTTTCTTCGAAGTTTGCACTTCATCTTTCTCATGCATGCTGCGTACCCTTTTTCGTGCTATCTTCCACTGTAAAAAATAGGGCTGCTAAGTGCGTGCCATTCCAGCGTTTCTG